ACTCAAACCAAAATCCAGCTTCTTTCTAAACTTGTGCCAGTAAGCAGTGGTTGGAACTCCGCTTAACTGAACCAACGGTGATTTTCTTTTAACTAACAAACATCGAAATTGTGGAGTAATCTTTTCCTCAATGACTTTCATGGTAATAAATTCGATCTCGTCACCTGTTGTAGTCCGTGATGCTTTGCGAGCTATAGCGGCTGGCTTCGGGACCAAAACGTGGTCCCTAACTTTAATCAGGGTTCCAATCGAGGCGGAAGCTCCATTCTCATATTAAACACCCTTTCTTATTGCAGCGACATACTCACCGGGACCATGTCTGTGTTTGGCAGTGGAGTCATCTCCTTTAGAAACACGTACAGTCGCGGGATTCGCTGTAGCGGCAGCCTTAAGAACAGCAACCGCAACAGCCACTTCTAGTTGAGTCCCATTACCGCCACTCTCCTTCTGCTCATCCTCTTCCATCCGCGAGCACCGCACCAGGCACCGGGAAGTAGGCTCCGGAGAGAAGTTGCTCCGCCTCTCTCCCCTATCCCTTTCGAACGACGTCTCGACCAAAGTCGTCGTCCTTCGCTACGACCCTCCTACGATTCGCAACTCTGTTGAGGCACTATTTGCAGACAGCTGCCCGTTGGCCCCACCAGCCTCTACGGTCGGAGGCTGCCTCACTGTCGCGTCGCCACCTCCGTCCTTCAAGGCTTCCATCCCGTGATGCAACGCGTAGGCCTTCCAATACTCCACGATATTCCATAGTTTTTCCTGCTTTTGAGCCCATGACAGCTCTGATATGTCGATTGAACTCATCTGGATTTGATATGGTAAGAATCTGTCCTTGAGAGAGTTGTGACAAACTCACCTTTCGGAATCAGGCTCTGATACCAGATGTTAGAAAGAAAGTTTCTAACTAGATTCGGATTGGGTGATATTTGAGAATTTAGGGATTGAGAATATAGAATTAGGGATTTGGAGAAGAATTGGGGGAAGAAGAATGGTCGGCGGCCAAATTAGGGAAAGAAGAGAAATCGAGAGGATTTGGGAGGGACTAGGGTTTAGGAATTTTCTTATTATGCTTCTTGTTAATTCTGAATGAAAACCCAAAGTACATATTTATAAGGAATACGGGAAAACCCTAATAATAAACCTAATTATACTAAAAGACTACTAACCATAATCATAATTACCCTAATGATAATTATAGGGTTATAGGTATAATATGCCCCTCTACTATGACGTTTTATCAAACATGCCCCTCTACTATTTTTTACATTAAATATGCCCCTGTACTTTGAAAAAAATTGTCAAACATGCACTTCTGAATCCATTCCACAATAAGCCGGCGTCTGGTGGTTCTCCATCCTCGTCCTCTCTGGCAGCACGAACAGGATCATCCTAAACGGTGGTCCAACTTCAATTTTGAACTACAATATGTTAGCCACTAGAATTACTTTATTTCATCTATAGTCACTTAAATTAGTTCAACGATTCAAGTTTGGTCACTCTCCGTTAGTCTCCGTTATATCTTCCACCTTCCTTTCCTTCCGAATCCAGTCCACAATGAGCGACTTGAAACTGCTCATGGTGCTCCATTCATTGCATTTGATGTTGGCCGCCAAATTTTCGAGGCCCATGACCTGCACGTACACATCGATCTTCTCCCGCTCCAGCACCACGCTTGTAGTTTCGCCCGCCGTGATTCCGCAAGAAGCCAGCGTCTGGTGGTTCTCCATCCTCGTCCTCTTCGACAGCACGAACATGATCAGCCTAAATGGGTCGTCCAGCTTCAAGTACGGGGCAAACTTCTGCTTCACCTCCATCACAGTGGTCGACGTCCGGAAGGAAAACCAGTATGTTCTCACGATCTTAAGCTTGCACATGTCGACGACGTTGCCTCTTTCTACCGCCATCATAAGTGATCGATCGAGTGCTCAATTAGCCATATATGTATGGTAAACTGTTGACGCAGGTAGCTAGGGATGCTAACGACAGGTATGCTTTGGAACCCCTAACTTACTTTCTCATTGATTCATTTTGATCTTATATACATAGTTCGTGCATTACAGGACAAGAAACTCTAGCTGTAACTTGACAGAGAAGAAGTACATAAGTGCAGAACAAGGAGGGAACATAAGCTGAGCAAATGAAAGTGACGTTGTGGCTTCAGGACACAACGGTGACGTTTTGATCTTCGACAGTCTTGGTTGCCAGCTACGACGACGTCTTGGCCATGTTTGGATCGGTAGAAAATCATGGTTTCTCCATTGACTTTCTTGACACTCTAACTTGCACATATGACGAATTCAATCGCCAGTGAAATCGAATTGAATGCTGCCTACGCATCAATGAGAAAACTGAATCCATAACTGGAAACCGCCATAAGTGGAAATCCATATCGGAGTTTAGGGCTTGGGATAGGGTGAGTAACCGTTTGTTACTCACCCGTCAGTAACCACCTAGGAACCGTTGATCTGGGGCGGACGGATGGTGTGGCTGTCATTGAAGCGGGATTGTTAGGGGCATTTTTGTCCGTTATTTGAATTAATGAGTTTCCCTTTATGGCTGACTTTTCAATGAAAGAGAGAGAATAACTTTTTCTCTGCAACTTTATTTTATTCATTCTCTCTTCCTTTTTCCAATATCTTTCCAGATCCTTTCTCTTTCTCTATTCCTTCTCTCTTACTTTTTCTCTCACAATCTCCATTTCAAATCTAGATCTGTTCTCTTACATCTTCATTTTTTTTCTAGCAATCGACGAATAAAAATTGAAGTCACCCTCTTTAATTGTGTTTCTTCTCTTCATCAACTCGTTGGCTTTAATTTCAATCTTTTTTTTTTTTGGCGTTTGGTGTTCTTTGGTTGCGGATGAAATGAGATGAGACAGAAGACAAGTTATTTTCTCTCTCTCTTTTTGTTTTTCCCCTTTCTTTTAGGTAATATATATTGGTATTACCACACTCTACCATAAGGTATTATGTGGTAACGAAATATATATTGGTATTACCATTCTATATCATATGGTATTACCACTCTATACCATATGGTATTGGGTGGTAACGAAATATATATTGATATTACCACACTATACCATATGGTATTGGGTGGTAACGAAATATATATTGATATTACCACACTATACCATATGGTATTGGGTGGTAACGAAATATATATTGATATTACCATACTATACCATATGGTATTGGGTGGTAACGAAATATATATTGGTATTACCACTCTATACCATATGGTATTGGGTGGTAACGAAATATATATTGATATTACCACACTATACGATATGGTATTGGGTGGTAACGAAATATATATTGATATTACCACACTATACCATATGGTAGTAACGAAATATATATTCATGTGGCAAAAATTTTCATACCATATGGTATGCTCTTATTTAATACCAGTCAATATCATATGGTATAGACTGGTAATAACTGACAAATTTTTTGGTGTCCAAAAATATCAAAGTGGATATCATTTTGAAGAGCACAATTAATCTGATCTAACTGTGCAAAAAAAATTAATTTTCGACTTAAAACGAGTGAGAAATCGTCCGTTAAAGATTAAGGGAAAGACAATTAAATGTTTTGCAAGGAGAGAGAAGGAGGCGCTGATGTGGTACGGTCAAAAGTCAGCCTTGGCAATAAATAGGAGAAAGTGCAATTTTACAGTGCTGCCCTTTTCACATTTAATTTAAATAAAACAGTGACTGACACGTGAGGACCGCGGAAAGAGTTACTGATGGGTTACTACCCATCAGTTACTGACCCGATCTGGACCCGAGTTTAGGTTTCCAAACTTGAAGGAAGTAAATGGAAATTAAGTCAAGTCAGTGGAACCGGCGGTGAAAACTCTGGAGCAGCCTTCTCGTTTATCCATTCCTGCTTCAGAAGCTTCGCATCACCGACCGAAATCGACGGATATCGATTGTAAGCGTCTGTCAAGCTCGCGGTAGCCGGGGCCATCAGATCCAACGGTCGCCAGTTAGGTATGCAGCTAGAACGGAGAGAAATCGTGAGAAGTGAAACGGATTTCGAACTGTTGAGAAAGAAAATAGGGAAATTGAAAATTTCTGTGACTTCGCTAGTTGGAATTGGCGCCAAAGACCAGTTACTAAAATTTTCAATTTCCCTCTCCCCGCCGTTGGTGACCCTCTCGTATCTACAACTTCCCAACGCGCGTTTCGAGGTGGCGAGATCTCGAATCCAGTCGGCGGCACCGGAAGGAATGGTGGTGGTGTCGCTCTCGTTCCCGAGAGAAGGAGTCGCGTATAATTCCTTGTCCGGACGCCACGGCCGGAAGAACGAGTCGTTGTGAATTTCTCCAACACGACCTCCTCTGAGGTCCACTCTGTTGTTCTGCTTCACATGGCAGAGCCGTCGCTGGCTGGTGGAGACGGCAGCGATATGGGTTGTGGTTTGCTGGGAGGAATTAGTAAATGAGGTAGAAATTTATTGTTAAATGAGGCTGAGACGCAATAGTGGGTTTTTTTATTTTTCTTTATTGGTTTTTTATTTTAATTTATTGTTAAATGAGGTAGAAATTAGCAAAATATTTATTTTAATTATTTTTTATTTGCCACGTCACTCATTTAACGGTCAACTAATTTAAGTGACTACAGATGGAATCAAGTAATTCTAGTGGCTAACGTGAACTATGCTAGTAATTCAAGTGACCAAACTTGCAATTTATCAAAAAAAAAATAATAAATAAAAACGGATTTGCTATTCGTCACCCTAAAATTCAAATTTTATCGCTCTAAATTAAACTAAATTGACACATTTACCCCTAACCTCCATTTCTAACCTAAATCCACAACAAACTACCTGTCGCATCTTCTGGCGGATTCTGCTCAACGCCACATCTATTCCATCTCAACCCGATCCCGCCACCCTCATTCGTCATTGATGCTCCTTGTGCAGCCTGTTGTATAATTAACCGGCTAAGGTTTGGCCGGAGGTGAAGTTCTGCGCCGGCGGCGAATAAATCCGTCAGGCTGGCGAAACTTGACCAGACGGGTCGAGACCCATTAAGGAGCACCAAATTGCCGAAATCGTCGATGAAGGCCGAGCTTGAACCGAGCCGAGCCATGTTGGAATCCCATATGGTGGAGTCGGATCGTTGACTAGCAGGTGACTCCCGGCGGGAGTGAAGCGGAAGGCCCCGCCGGAGTCGACGACAGCGGAGGCGCCGTCAGCTATCCAGGGACTCCGACGTTGTAGTTGACACCGACGAGAAAAGAGTTGGGTCCGACTTGAGTGATTCCCACGTCCCGTTGAGCTCGACGGCGGAGAATGAGGATCCCGGCGAGCTTTGCGCCACCGTGAAGGTGATGAGAAGGAAAGAAGAAATGGGAAGAAGAAGAGATATTGGAAGTTCATCTTTCCATCAATCTCTCCGGCTCTGTGACTGTTTATTTTTGTTGGGTTTTAGAGAGAGAATTAATTGTGAAACAAATTAGATTATTAAACTGAATTGCTAATCATTTTCCCCCCAATCTCTCTGACTTTGTGGCTATTTATTTTTACTCAGTCCATGAGAAAAGGTGCTTTGGTGTGGGTTGTTTCATTTGTTGAAGGTTTGTGTTTGTAAAACAAAAAATAAACTAGGAACATTAGAATAAAATTATTAAGAATTAGGGCAATAAATAACATTTTTTAGGGCGACGAATATCAATCCCCGATAAAAATTCAAAACAAATCCTACAAATTTCCTACTTATTTGCCTCTGCTAGGAATAAGAAGCGAACAACAGCCTTCCCTCTCACCGTGGTGACCTGTAGCCGAACATTATCATCGCCGACGAACGTCTTTCTAGCCACCGTCCAAAGTATCGTTTATGGTTATAGTGGGGGTTGGGTTTACAAAGCTGATGGTTTAAGAGGGAAAATACCAGCTTTTCCCTCAATGTATTTCTCCAAGTCTTCTTCTTATTGAAATTATTATGAGTTTTGGGCTATAAAAAGAAACCAAAGAAATTGTTAAAGTGAAATTATTAGAGGTATTTGAGATATTTGTGTCGCTCAAACCAATAATTCGATCGTGTCTGGCGGTTTTTAAATGGAAATTTTAACAGAAAAACGTGTTTGATAATTTTTATAACAGTATAAGGAATGTCGAATGTAAAGACAGTAGTAGATGGACATATGTGATAAAAATGTAAAGAAACATATGAGACATTTTAGCATCATTCTTGAAGTCCTTGGATTTTCGAAATGTCTTAAGTTAGGGTCAAACTCATTTTTCTACTATGAAATTTATAAGTAGTATAAACTTTGAACCTAGAATTTCTCCATTACAAGAAATCGACTGCAATTTTTTATCTAATGCAGTCAATGCCTAGGCAAGGCCTGAGTATTTGATGCAAGTTTCTAATTTATGAGACTCAACTATAATCAAGAACTTATCACCTACAATAAGACAATGATTCCATATTGTTTTCCCTCGACATAACCAAATTTAATTTCCATTGATCTTTTTCTATATGGGGAATTTTACAATGCTATATAGCATTGGTGCTATAGGTTTTTGCCTTTATGGTACAACTTAAAATTGTACATTTAACGTTATGGTACAACTTAAAGTTGTACCTATACATTTTGTACAAATTCTTTTATGGTACAACTTGAACATGTACTTTTATTTGATGGTACAACTTCAAGTTGTAAAGTTATACCACAACATAATGATACAAATTCTTTTATGGTACAACCTAAACTTATACACTTAATGTTATGGTACAACTTTAAATTGTACATTAAAGCACCAATGCTATATAGCATAGTAGAAGTGCTCTTCTATATGTCACCTTTGAAAAGTTTTTTTAGGCAAAATACAGTTCCATAGCCAAAACTTTCACGTTTGTGCCAATAATAGCCACATTTGGCGAAATACCACTTATAGCCAAGTCCGTCTAATTCTTTAACGTTGTTAACGTTTCCTTATCCTCTTCATCTAACCCCTCTGAATCCCATCGACGAAGGCGGCAACCACGAAGGCGACGAAGGAGAGGATCTTCTTCCGACGACCCCCCCCCCTCCGACGAACCCCGTACCACCCCTATTCCTTCCTCCACCATCAATATACACCCCTCCTACAGTCTCGATTTTCCTCCATCGATATAGTTGAACCTACCGCCTCCTTCCTCGAGAAACACATACAGAGGATGGGTTGACTAACCGACGCCGAGCGTTGGCCGAGTCCTTCGAAGCTTCTTCTCTTCTGTATGCTTTGGAGGAATCTCGGAATCGACCGACGCGATTCTACTGTGAAACCCTAATCTCACTTCAAAGCTCGATTAATGCTCTCCCTCTTCAGTTGCGACTGGACATGAGGAAGCTGCTCGCCTGAACATGCCTGCAGCTCGCTTGAAGTGCTGGGCAGGAGAAATTGCGGAAGGAGAACCCTATTTCCGAAATCGGAATCGATCAGAAGGGAGTAGAGGATTCGTGGAGAGTGGAAATTGGAAGTTTGGGGAAGAACCCTAATTCCCAAATCGGATGAGGATTCGTGAGAGGAGAGGAAAACTGGGGACAAACCCTAATTTTTAAATCGAGCCAAAGTTGGGGGGCTGAAGGATTCGCTTCGACGCAAATGGGAATATATGATACAATTTTTTTTAATAATGTAATATATGATGTGTCCATAATTGCTTAGTTGGCGCTGACGTGTTCGATTTCTTCTCGCCTAATCAGCAAACCGTCTACTAATTTATCGGTGTTACTAACACCGTCAATGTTTCTAACGGAAAAGGCTATATTTGTCCAACAACATTTTCAAAAGGTGGCTATAAGTAGTATTTCGCCAAATGTGGCTATTATTGGCACAAACGTGAAAATTTTGGCTATACAAGTGTATTTTGCCTTTTTTTTATGTTAGCAGCCTAGGTTTGAAATGAAGGTTTATAAAGTAACACACTAAATCTTTTATGCTTGCCTTCATCTTTGGTTTTAACACTTAACCTATGTCACGTGGTAAATATAACATTGTTTGCTTATGTAGTGAACACATGTAACATGTTTATCTTTTCCCAAAAAATCTTTGACGTTAAAGCTAAAATTGTTGATATATGTCCAAGACACACTAAGAACAAGTCATGCCCCTAATTGAGAGTTATAATTATATGAAGTACGTATGGCTTTTGGATTTATGTGACACTTCAGGAGAATCTCACATCAACCAAGCGCGTGAGAGATTCATGTTTCATAGGTAAGAACTGATTGTAACTGACAAGATGCGTTTTGGGGTGCAATGGAAGAGTTCTGGTAAGAAATCCAAAATTAAATGTGCTCACTATGTAGCACTGAAAGGATAAGTGACCTTATGAGAAGTCACCTTGATATGTACGTCAAGACAAAATCCGTGAGGGTCTAGGCCTAAAATGAACAATATCTTGTCGAGAAAATGTTGGAATGTTACAACTGGTATCAAAGCCTCTCTGTGTCCCTCTTAAAAATGGTGGGGCAAACCTCAACGAGAACGTTGAGTCGGGGAGGGGGTTGGGGTTATGTAAAACCTTGGCCGAATCCCACATCGATAAATCACGAAAGAGATCCATATTCATAAGTAGTAAGAAACCAACCTTAACTGTCAAGATGCATTTTGAGGTGAAATGGAACATCTCTGGTAAGAACTCTGAAGTTAAACTTGCTCACTATGTACGTAGCAGTGCAAGGATAAGTGACCTTATTAGAAGTCACCTTGATATGCAGGAATGCGTTAGGGTGGCAACTAGATTTTTAGTAGCCACTGGCTACAATAGTATCCGCCGTTCATTTTTAATTTTTTCCTCATTTTTTAATCTCACGGTTAAGATTGCTCCGGGGTAATTTTGGAAACTAAAAAGAAACCACACTCGATTAATCTATGTAATCTACCAAACACTAATTCTATCCTCTCCAGTCCCCTCTCTCCAACCAAACCTGTCGCAGCCGCAAGCTCCACTGACCGCCTTCGTCATTCCCGGCGCACTAGTCCCACCGGCCACCTCCACCAGCCCTGACGCACACCCACCAGCCCCTACGCACCAACCTCGACGTCCCATAAACCCGACCATCCGCTGTCGCCCAACCGCAAAACAGGCGGCTCCGTCAATCCCGAATTGGAAGCTCGCGGAAGAGAGAAAATCAATTCATATCATCGTCATTGCCTCGAGTAGAGAGAGAAAGAGAGGGACGGTGAGAGAGCGCGCCATAGATCATATATATACATACATGGAAGGTAACAAGAGCGAGAAGCAGAGCAGAGGGAGAAGGCAAAATCAAAAAGCAAAGAAATTGATCTTTGTATGCAATGATAGTGATCTACCATTTTTGTAGTCATCTGCACATATTGGCAGTGATCTTTCAATGGTAGTGATATTTTGGTCGATTGGTATGTTATTTGATCTTGCAATGATAGTGATCAATATGAGTTGCACTATTTTTTTGTCTTGCAATGGTATGTATGTACGATTTTGTTAAGACTGGCATGCATTGGTAGTGATCTACCACATGTAATGGTAGTTTTAATTGTTATATGTGCAATGGTATTGTTTGATTTAATTTTATGGAATGGTATTGGTTGCAGTTCTTCATTGGAGGGAACTAGAAGTGTGCAAGTTATTTAATTATGTTTTATTGCTTCTGGATTTTCTTTGCTGAACCTATTGATTATATTGGCAAGATAATTGTGTTGTGATTTGGGAGGAAGAAGATTGATTGAGGATTTGACTTGAAGAGAGTAGAAAGATTGGTTTGTATTTTTTTGAAATGATAGTGATTTTTTTCGTAGTGGTAGTGTTTTCACTTTGGTATTGTTTTTTCTGCATTGGTATTGATTATCATGTAATGGTATTGATTTGCAGGTATTGGTATTGATTAAATCTACAATGATATTGGTGTTTTGTGAAATGGTAGTGTTTTTATTTCTCGAATGGTATTGGTGTTTTATGCAATGGTAGTGTTTTTCTAATGGATTGGTATTGATTTATTGTTTGTTGTTGCAACGGTATTAGTTCGGCTGAACAACGTATGACCACAACAATACCTATCAAACCAAACATACATACCGATAAAGATATGTATCAATACCAAAACAATAATAAATCATACTCCTCTAACGTCTGATGAAGACCGACATCAACAACATGTCTACCAACACATAACTACAGACAATAATACTATTGAAACACATGGACAAGCAAAACAATTCATATTAATGGTACTGATACTCAACCAATATCAAACCATGCACATCCTACAACCATCATGCAAACACTTCACATCCAACTCAATTTCAATATTGAATACCAATCCATCAAAATATATATACACCAATACCAATGTAAACGCTACCAATAAAACGTATCATCGCTACCAAAACAATAAGCACCATAATACCAT